AGAAATCTAAGGCTACTGCAAATATTGTAATTATTACACATAAGTTAAAGCAGATTTGTATAGGTTTGTCTGTGCTGAGGAAAATTGTAGTAAGGATAAAATCTCTTCTATACCTACATTCTTTAGTCTAATTAGATGTATTTTATTTGAAGTTAATTGAAGAACTGATTGAACTTTTGATACAAGCTATGAATACTTTAATATTTTTTCAATAATGTAATATTTTTCATGATTGGTACTTTTGTAATTGTCACACATGTATGATATATATGTCAAAATATATATAATATATTCACATCTATATAATACATTGAACAAACATCTAACACTGAGTCTTATCTTCCCAATGCTGTAATTTCCACAACCATTTCTAAATATGACAAATATGTTCAGTAATATGACCAATAGAGTAGTAGTCTGTTTCTAGGCTCTGTCACTGAATCCCAATTATTTGGTGTATAGCTGAGAAATTTGAAAAGAAAAATACAAATTTTCTTATTTTAGCAATACACTCATTAACATTATATGATAATTTATTTAATAAGGTTCTTAAAATCATAGATCAACAGTTATTTATATGGTAATGGCTTTAGTAAACTCAAAATTATATTAAATGCACTTATAGTAATATTTTAATAGAAAGAAAATCATAGTGAAAGCTCATTCTGACAGAAGTGTTTTAACAGTTAGATTTCTTGGCAAGTTCACTTGGAAGTATAACATTGCTTTCCCATTACTGCATTTTATTTAAGTATAAATCTTAGCAACCAACAATGCATGCTGAATAATTGGGGAAACTAATGTTCAATGTGCCTTCAACAAAAGTCTTGTAGTAGTAGAAATTGAAACTATGCATGCACACATGCATACACACAAATATACTCACACTTGTGCACATATATACACATACACACACACACACACACACACACACACACACACCACTGAGAGGGAACAAGGGAGGTAATAAGGATTATGTTGGAGTTGAGCCCCACTAAATCTCTCAGGATTCAGAAGGACTGATATAGCAGAGGAAATCCTGTGGGTAAACAAAATAAATAAGCTCAAGTGAGTCTTTTTATCATGTCTCATTTATTCTTTCTTACTCTCTTTAACACTCTCTTGATGCTCCTTCCCCTTTCAATGTTCCTTCTCAATTTTCCTCTTTTGATGTTCCTCGCTGTTCTTCACATCCCAGACATAGTTAGCAATTCCATAGGTGATTAAAAGGTACCATGCCTGCAGTTCTTAGGGCTAAAAGGATGGATGAAAGAATGACAAGGTAGATGCCATATGGCTCAGGAAGGGAGTGGCTGTGAAATTCCCTGGCAGATACCAGGAGGATTGGGATGGAGTTTGCCCCCACTCCTAAGCATCAGAGTGCTGTATCTGCTGGCACCCAGTGGAGAAGGAATTTCTTTCTCTGGGGTTGGTTTAGTAACCCAAAGCAAGGTTTTTTCCTTGTATATTGTAGGGGTAAAGGTACAAACAGTTAATTTCCTAGACTAAGACCTTGTATCAAATGAAAAAAAAAAAAGTAATGCACACTATTTCTCCTTGTTCAGTGCCTCCTGATCAGGGTTCCTTTCTTGTCAATAAGTCCTGTCAATAAGGATAGTTGTGGGGGTGGGTCAGGCTTTATGTAGATTTGACAATGAGAACAAAGGTTTGGCTGGCTTTCTCACCAGGGTCCCATGGTGTGGGAAAGGTCATCCAGGTGCATGTACAGTTAGAAGTCATACACTGCTGCGATATTTTGGGAAGATTCCCATTATGGAAGGGAGAAGAACCATGGCTTCACAAGATTTCTACAGAAAGACAGTGACTATCCAAAAATCAAGAGTTCCCAAAGCTCTGCAAATCTGGTTCTCTAGCTGACCATACTCTCAAGGATCCGTCTTTAGATCTGTCAGCTGTACTTGTGGCTGACGGTATCTCCCCTCCTTTTGTTTAATAAATGCAGCATGTGTATATATTTCTGGGCAATGAATAATGTGGATAACTAATAAGTTTGAGGATGACTTAAAGTATAATAAGTTTGAAATAAATAGTCATTCATGAATATAGATCGTAAGCAAAGAACTAGTTTGGCCATCTTGTAGATGAGTTGTATATGATGTTAGAATATCTCTCATCTACAGTAAGACAGAGGAGTGATATAAAAATTTATAATAGTATGGTATGATGTGGTTAAGCGTGTCTAAAAGTTGTAGGTTTGAGCTGTTAAAAGAAAGAAATGTTAAGGGCGGGTGGTGGTGTGGCACACACCTTTAATTCCAGATCTCAGGAGGCAGAAACAGGCAGATCTCTGTGAGTTTGAAGCTAGCCTGGTCTACAAGAACTACTTCCAGGACAGGCTCCAGAGCTACAGAGAAACCTTGTCTTGAAAAACCAGAAAAAAAAAAGAATGTTATTTTATCTATTAGTCCTTGAATAATAGACTGCATTTTGATGAAGGATTACTAGATAGGGTTTGCCTGGTTAGTGGTTAGGACTAAGATTGCAGTTAAGTATATCTGATAAGTCAAATTTATAATCAAGACAATAATAAATTATTTTAGCTATGACAGGTTAGTAGCAACTATCTCAAAATACACATAACAAAATTTTCATATTAGAGCAATTATCAGAAAAACATAAGGAGATTGTCTGATAGCATTTACATTATAGTATCATGTATATAATCTATACAACTATTAACAAAACATTTTTTAAAGGCATTCCAGTCCCTGGGCTATAGAGTTCAGTATGGTTAAAAAAAGTGACATAGAGTGTAAAGTTCTCTCATCGTTGCTTCCTTCTGATATGTACTTGAACACTAGAAATCCATGGAAGAGCAGGCTGTCTCAGACTCCATGAGGTGCCTAGGAAGCTTTGGAGCAGTCTGCATCAGGAGAACACAATAGGTCCTTCTGCGATGAGATAGGAGAGTAGGGCACAGAGCTGAAGCAAGGGGGATGCCATGGCCAAAGTAAGAACAATTTGTAACACTTTAAATGATGATAAATCTGGTGGAAGAACATGAAGTTAAGGGGTATTGGAGAGGAAACCTTTTCCCCTTAGGTACACACTTGGAGTGTTTAAGTGCATGGTTTTGGCAGATGAGAAAAAAGGCCTTCCAAACCAGGTTGAGAGAGGAAATTTCTCCTCTCTGCCAAATTGTAGACAAGTAATACTTATCTGGCCTTATTTTGTATCTGTGATAATATTGGTGGATCTAGATTGATCTCTTGAAGCTCATAAGAATATTCCTTAAGAGGCAAAAATGTTCGCTATCTCGGGTTATTATTATTTGTGGTTTGTATGTAAATCCATGTTGTGGAAGAGGCAAGAAGACTTTTTTTTTCTTTTTTTTGAGACAGGGTTTCTCTGTGGTTTTGGAGCCTGTCCTGGAACTAGCTCTAGTAGACCAGGCTGGTCTCGAACTCACAGTGATCCGCCTGCCTCTGCATCCCGAGTGCTGGCAGAGCTCGGCATGTGCCACCACCGCCCGGCTAAGAAGACTGATTTTCGAGTCATAATAGAAGTTTGGAAATGTACAAATAATTTTTGTTAAAAGCAGAAATATCCCTTTCTTGTTTAGAAGGCTACATGTATATAAATTAAAGAGATGTCTCCATCAAGAGTAGGAGAATTTTCAAGTTTTACAATTTAAAAAAAATATTCAAAGGGGATGTAAAATACAAAGTTTGTGGCTAAACAGTAGGAGCTCTTTAACAGAGGCAGACACAGATTATTTGGAAGTCAAAGAAGTAAAAGTTTATATTGGGTAGCAGTGAAATACAATTTATCTCATAGGTAAGGTTGAAATGAGCCTTGATATGTTAGCAAAGTTTTGAAGATGTTGATCAGTGTGATAGCTGAAAGTGATGGATAATATTAATAATCAACTCAATGGAATCTAAAAACTCCCTAGTGGCTGGCTGGACCTTTAGTCATGCCTGTGGGGGACTATATTGTCTATACTAAAAAAAGAGTTGCCGCCTGGGAGTTGCACCATTGCCTGACTTGGATCATAGATTTGTTGTATGAAAAGTGGAATGTAGGAGCAGAATGTGTCCATTGAATTCTGCTTCTTGACTGCATATAATACTTATGAGTTCTTAAAACAGAACCATTGCTCAGAGGAATTGTCTAATGAGGATGAAATACCTTAGATGGAGTGAAGAGGGTGGAATTTTCCCTCTCCATTTTTCTGTCCACTGTCACTCACTCTTTTTATCATCCCGCCTGTGAAAACTGAAACTTGAAAGAATATATTTTGTAATACATAAGCATTGGAACACACAACAATTATTTAAATAACAAAAGTTACAAAAAACATAGCTGGAAAGAACCATCTTGCCTGCTAGGAATGTCTTTGATGGGTCCTGCAGTTCAGAATTTTGCAATAAGAAAAACATCAACAGGACTACCAATAGAGGCTTCACATATTCGTAATTTAACTTGAGAAAATGAGGAACTGTTTAAAAACAATAATATAGAGGTTATGAATTATGGCATAAATAATGATTTGAAAGCATATTTTCAGCACCAGAGTGTCATATTTGTGGTGGGGTGACATAATCGTCAGTGATAATCTGGTCATGTGAGCAACTCCAACAGTTGTGTACAATTTTTCATAGATATTTATATTTGATAATAATAATAAATGATGGCTTGTTGAACTCACAAGTTTGAGATTGGTATGATTATCCTGATTCTTATTGATCCTAAAAATTTATTCCTTTGATGTTTGTAAAATGACTCAACAAACTTGACTCTAGGAAAACTATGCTGATGGCTTTTACCTCACAGAGGAGGAGGAGGAGGAGGTAGAGAAGTGATGATTAAACTTTATCTTCCTGTTAAGAGACGCAGATGTCAGTGATCAATTAGAGAATTAGGGTTGCGACTGGATAGGGTGCCTTTGAAGATTTGTGCCACTATAGCCAACTGCATAACTGATATTATTCTTATTATAAGGTTTTATTTTTCTTTATATTTTCTCGTATTTTCAGGCTGATGTCATTGATGTGAGTTATGGAACTGCAGATGATTTGAAAAGGATTAGAAAATTGAAAAATACAACAAATCAAATTGCACTCCTGAAATTAGGAAAATTACCACTACTCTATAAGGTTAGTACAAAAGCTCTTATTTGGTTTAGAGTAAATACATTTTTTTTGTAGGTTGTTTGATGTAGGTGCTTTTGAAGTTATGGAGAGAGTGAGAGAGTCTGTGTATGTGCATGAACATATGTGTGTGTGTGTGTGTGTGTGTGTGAATGTATGAGAGAGAATGATAAGAACTGTCATTTCCAAATTAGAATAAATTAAGATCTTTATGGAAAAGAAGTTGATGTCTATATTCTTTAAATGAGGAGATGCACTAGTTGGGGATGGATGAGCCTGTGAGCTCCTATTCAAGGAGCATTTCCATTAAAGGGCCACACCTAAAATGTTGACAAAGACAGCTTTGGTTGCTCTTCTGATGACATATTTGAAAGTTCCAATCAGTGGTCAAAACTGGCAATTTTCCAGGTGCATTCACCCTGTTAGATCAGAATCTAGCTAGTTTATACTCTTCTGTGATTAATTTTGTAAACTCTGAAACTTTACAGTTACTGCCTGTACTCAGGAATGCAATTAAAATGCAATATTCTAAGGAGATGTAGAATTTCCATTTATTTATTTAAGTTGAAGTTTATTAACATTTATCCACTAAATGAATCTATAACTAAAGCAATTCAAACTAAAGGACTTAGCAGGGTTGGGGCCTATTATTTCGTTTTCTGTTTCTGTGTAGAAATAATGGTCATTGTCACTATGTCACGGGAAACCTCTTGTTCTGAATATAAATTGAACTTTTTCTTATTCAGTTTTTAAGGGTTTTGCTAATCCCCAAGACTCCAAAGATATTTCCATAAAACTGTTGGGTGGTGTATTATAAAAGAAGAGGGCAGACATGTGGGCACATTCCTTTAATCTCAGGAATCACAAGGAAGATTCAAGTTGATATCTCTGAGTTTTAGTCTACTTGATTCATTGCATAACCCCGTGTTGGTCAAGTCTTCAAAGTAAGATCCTATTTTTAAAAAAAAGGAAAGGAAGGGGCTGACGAGGGAGGGGGACTTGACTGGGGGAGGGGGAGGGAAAGGGGAGGCGGGGTGGGGAAGAGACAGAAATCTTTAATAAATAAATAAATAAATAGGAAAAAAAGAAGTAAAGAAGGAAGAAGAACTCTTTGTACTTCCATTTCCTTATCTTTCAAGGATATACTTATACTTAAATCAGTGTTAGATTATCCATAGCTGTGACATAGTTTTAAAGATGAAAAATAACAGTGAAATTATTTTTTGCTGGATAATCTTTTGAAGTGCAATAAGTACTTTAAAACAATCATATAAAGTTACAGAAATAAGGCTCAATCAATGTATTCTAATTAGAGAAAAAAGATAATAAATACAGTCATGGTCAAAAAATAATAAAATATTAGCAGTGAAATCCAATACTAAAATGATTCTACATTTCTAGATGTAAACTAAAAGGGTACTTTTTTTTTAAATGGAAGAGGGAACCAAAGTAACACAGTTGGTATGTGTGACTCTAATGTGTTCATTGTACCAACTATGAAATGAGACTTAGGTTAGCTTTAGTAATTGACATCTCCATCTGGACACTGACATGAATCTACACATTATAGATGTTTGTGTATTTCATAAGACAAAATGCCTTTAAATTTCAAATTAAGAGTCTGGAGCGGTGGCTCAGCTGGTGAAGAGCACTTGCTGTTCTTGCTGAGGACCAATGATGCACCTCCCTGTCAGGTATATGGTAGTTTGTATGGTTTACCTGTGGGTAAATCTTTCTTAATTCTCAAGCCAACCAATTCTCCAGAGCATATTTGCACCTGTTTCTTTTTTTAAATCTAAGTTTAGAGTATGAACTAACAACCTATTTGGGATGGAATAGTTTTTTGGCTAGGATTAGCTTTGATTAATCTTCAAGGAGTCAGAATGCTCTCAGTGACAGTATGTGAATTTAGACCTTCATAAATTCTGAACTTGCTAAAATGCACTCCTCTATGAAACTTTTTTTAAACAAAAATACTGGAAAGCATTTTATTCCTTATGGCCATTTTCACTAAATATAGCAATAAATACATAAATACTATGTTCTCTATAACTTGTAAAATTAAATAAATTACAATAGACATAGTTTACACTAGGTCCTAACACAATAACCCTCACAAGGAGGAGAAAATCCTATATGGAGTAAATTATAAGAGAACATCTAATTTAATTAAAGGTCATTTCAGGATAGTAAAACTACACTTAAAATTTACAAATCCAATTGCTGTTCTTATAAATGGAATAGTGTAGGCCATGTTTCTATCAGTGTCATAGAGTGAGGTACTAAAATGTTTCTATTTTAATCATATCCATTTTAAGCTTAAAATGACAATTTTAAAGATTTAAGTATCCTAATGACTTTTCAGATTCCTAAAAATGAACTATTTTTATCTATCTGATAAAACATGTTATACAATAAGAAAAATGAAAAGCATATGATCCTTAATTCTGTACCTCAAAGCCAGTACATTGCTGAATGGTTCTTGATCAGTATGTGTTGTATGAAAGACTTTCATTGGGAGATACAACACACATGTCAACTCACCCCAAAACCTTGGGAGGTACAGCACACATGTAGAGTCACCCTTAAAGAAAGCTACAACCAACAGCCCAAAATCATAACTGGAGCCAAGTCTAACTTGGCAAATAAATGAAACTGTTGTAGCGGATGCATAGACTGCTTGGCAGATCACAGATCTCCTTGGTCTACAGTTTTGTACTTCTCCTAACACCCCTGGGGGAAAGTGTGAGGAACCCTGCAGGTTCAGCCTTTCGTCTCACTCCTGACAGAAAAGTTCTACTCACATGAAACTGAACGCTTTGTAGCTCACTGAAACTTAGGCCTAGTGATAGTGTGTAAAGGGATAAGCAATATACAATTTCTATGTGTTTATTATATTTGTAGAATGTGTTCTATGCTAATGAACACATGTGTTTAAGGAAAACTTCATGTTACTTGAAATTTAAACTGACTCATGCTCAGAATAATTAAATTTAAAACAATTAACTAATGTTCTATTAAAACATAAACATAGAAGATAAATGATGAGAATTGCCTACAAATCACCAGCAGTCTATATCAACAATTGTCAATGAAGTCTATGGTTGTCACATATTCAAGACAAGTGGAAGATCATTAGGAACTGTTCTAATTACTTATCTAAAACTCCTGACAAATGCTGCATTTTGAAAATTCATTTCTATGAAGTATGTGTATACTATTTGTTATCTTTGGATATTTTCGAGATCCTTATTGTTTCATTTATCCCAGATATCAGTTTTTCAAAAGCCTTAGTTGAAGTCATATGAGACTGTTGTCAAAAGTAAATGAAATATCAACCCTCCCCAGCCCCAAAACTTAGGGATCAAGCAGAAGAGGATGGAAGGAAAGTAGGAAACAAAGAGGAGGAGGGAAGTTGTGAAATACTACTTTCTCCCGTCAAATGGCCATTGCACTACAGAACTCATAACAGCACCAGGTGTGAGGTAGCCACTCCATGTATTAGATGATCATCAGAAGTAGTGAAATTTTTGCCTAATTTCTCATTTTTATTTTTCCAATTCAAAATATGGTTGTGTTTACTTGTTAAGTATCAAAATTAGGTAGTACATTGAGCAAAGACTAAATAGTAAATCTTATTTCATTTTCTAAGCTTATTCAAAATTTAAATAAATTAAGAAATGGTTTAATGGTCAGAGAAATTAGAGGACACCAAGAAAACAAGGCCCTCTAAGTCAATATGAACAAAGCTCATATGAACTCACAGAAACTTAAAGCATCATGCACATGGCCTTCATGGGTTTGCACCAGGTCCTCTGTGCATATATTATTGGTTCTCGTTTAGCGTTTTATTGGTTCTTGTTTAGTGTTTTATTGGAGTCCCATGTGTGTCTTCTCTTGGGCTTTTTTTTTTTTCCAGTTGGTTTGTCTTGCCCAACTGCTATGTGGTAGTTTTGTTTTATTTTAGTTTATTTTGTTATAATTTAAAGAATATGAGTAAATGAATGAATGAAAACCCAGCCACTGTGGTAAAGGTTAACAATTGAACTGTCACTTATACCTGCTGGATCAGAAAATCAGTTTTCTTCAATAATGTGATGCTGGATAAATAAACCACCCCAGGACAAGCCCCATGTTTAGGTGTAGTAGTTGACCAACATATAATGGATTCCACAGTTTTCACATGTTTTTTTATTAGGCTACAGTTTAAAGGTTTTGGTGGGGGGGGGGCAGATGTATTTTGTTTTTGCTTTTTTTTTTTGAGAAAAAATTTAAAATTTAAACTTGGGTTGATACAAAGGGGGAACAGATCTGGAAAAACTTGAAAGAGGGGAAGAAAATGACCAAAATATATTTAAATTTTAAGATTGTTTAAAAGAGCACAAAATATAATAACAAAATGAAAATTTTATGGATATATATATACATATATATTATGCATTCTGCTGTTCTGGATAATCTCTCTACAAACCTCTTATTCTCTCCCTCCATCGACTCTTCCTCTTCACTTCTGATACTTTTCCTAGATTCATGATTCTTGGCTTTGTTTTCAATCATAACCATCTGTTTGGCTACTTTATTTGGAATATTCATTGAAGCCTGGTAAGGCATCAATGTGCCCACCCCTGAAAGAAATGGCTTATTTCCCCAAATTCAGTGAGCAGCTTTGATGAGTCAGACTCTCTGGGTCTTTCATTCATCCATTTCTGATTGTAGAACCATTCTTGAACAGTGTAGTCATCTTTCAATATGGAGAATCCCTGATTCCTATGGCCATGCATTGCTGAGAAGATGGTATTTCACAGTCATTTCCTGTATTTTCTAGCTCTCTCCTCTTTCTGTCTCCTCTCCCGCGTTGTCCCCTTAGCCTTAGAGGAGAATATCTTATAAGTACTGTCTAGGTATAAGAGCATATTTACAAGGTGACTGGATGCTATGCCAATTTAACTAAATAACGGAATTAAGTCCCCTAAAGCCTTCCTCTCCAGGAGCTTTTGACTGCATTT